TCGCGTGCCTCATGTCATTTGATATGGTTTAAATACATGTTAGATTACTCCACATATTGTCAATTGGTTTTATGTTGGAACCTTAACATAGGATGCTCTGTCTACGCACTATAAATCCTAAGACGGAAGTCTGCATTTTTCTTAACCCTAAGATGACAACTTGCATTGCTGCTACATCACACCTTCTTGTTATAATGTCAAGGGAAGAGGAAGTTGTGAACCCAACCCCAGGAACAGGGAATACCCAATCCCAACAATCTGGAGAACTGCAAAATATCCATTCTGCATATAGACTAAGTGGAAGAAATTATTTGAAGTGGGCCCAACTTGTTCGTACAGTGTTAAAGGGAAAAGGGAAGTTGAGTCACGTGATGGAGTCTGGGCCTAAACAGGAGGATCCCAAGTTTACTACATGGGATGAGGAAGATTCAATGATCATGGCGTGGCTGTGGAATTCAATGATTCCAAAAATCAGCGACACCTGCATGTTCCTTAATTCGGCAAAAGAGATTTGGGATGTTGTAGAGCAAACCTACTCTAAAGCCAAAGATGCTGCTCAAGAATATGAAGTAAAGGTGAAAACTTTGGCAACAAAACAAGGGAACAAGACTGTTACAGAATATTCCAATCAGCTGAAATCATTATGGATGGAGCTAGACCATTATAGAGTCATAAAAGCCAAATGTACTAAAGATTCAGCACTTCTCAAGGAGTATATCGAACAAAAAATAGAGTTTATGATTTCCTTGTTGGTTTGAATCCTGAATTTGATCAAGTTAGGATTCAAATATTGGGGAAGCAAAAGGTACAATGCTTCAATGAAGTGGTGGCTATTATGAGAAGTGAAGAAAGTAGAATGGGTCTCATGTTAGAGAGTCCAACAGTAGAGAACTCAGCAATGGTGGCTGACCATAAAGGAGATCAGACTTTGGCCATGGTAGCCGAACAGAAGAAAGGAGGATCAGCAAATGTAGAGAAGAAAGGTGATGGTCTCTAGTGTACTTATTGCAATAAGCCTCGTCATACTCGAAAGAAGTGCTGGAAGTTACATGGGAAGCCTTTAAATCAAGATCGAGAAGGGGGACATAAAGAAGGCTCCTCAAGGAAAGGAGGACAAATTTATGTTGTTGCTGAAACAAATGAAGGAAATAATCTAGAAGTTACTACCTATCTTAACCAAGAGGAGATAGAAAGGGTAAGAACCTTTCTTAGTAAACTGGAAAAACCTACAAGTGTGTGTTCTTTGGCATACTCAGGTAAGTTTCCACTTTCTTTTGGATTAAATGTCTTAGATACACATTTTAACCATTATTGGATATTAGACTCTGGAGCCACAAACCACATAACACCATTAGCTAAACACTTCTCCACATATTCCCCATGTCCCAGCAACAAGAAAATTGTCACAGCAGATGAAACTCTTATAATTGTAGCTGGTCAAGGAAATATCCAAATCAATCCTTTAATAACCTTAAAAGATGCTCTCCATGTCCCAAAGTTGTCCACCAGCCTAGTCTCTATACAAAAACTTATAAAGGATTTGTCATGTAAAGTTGTTTTTTCAAAGATCATTGTGTATTTCAGGACAAGGATTTGGGAAGGATGATTGGACATGCTAGAGAATGGAATGAATTTTATTATCTTGAAGATCCAAGTTTGTCCAACAAGAACAAAATCTCTCACTCCTTCATATCTGAATCCTTGATGACCAAAAGAGAAAAAGTCATGCTTTATCATTGTAGGTTGTGACATCCCTCTTTTAGAGTGATCAAAATTATGTTTCCCTCTTTGTTTACCAAGTTAGATGTTGAGAGTCTTCATTGTGAGGGGTGTGAACTTGCCAAACACAAGTGTGTATCTTTTCCAATAAGTAATAAAATTAGCAATTTCCCTTTTTATCTTGTTCATATTGATGTATGGAGACCTTCTAATATTCCAAATGTGTCTGGTGCTTGATGGTTTGTCACCTTTATAGATGATTGTACAAGGGTCACTTGGGTTTTCCTACTTAAAAATCAGAAGTCAGTTCTGTCTTCCTAAACTTCCACTCTTTGATAAAAAATCAGTTTGGTCTTAATATTAAGAGGTTTAGGTCAGATAATGTCAAAAATTACTTCAATCACGTCCTTAATTCTTTTTGTCAAAAAGAAGGTATAATTCATGAGTCCTCTTGTGTCAAAACACTACAACAGAATAGGGTCGCAGAGAGGAAATATGGATATCTATTAAATTAGACTCGGACATTGTTGTTCCAAAAAAGTGTCCCAGAAAATTTCTGGGGGGAAGCTGTCCTTACAGCAACATACCTTATCAATAGACTACCCTCTAGAGTCTTAGGATAAAAAAACCCTATGGAAGCTTTGTTGTCTTTCTATCGAAACCTGTCCATTACAAATAATCTTAAACCAAGAGTTTTTGGGTGCATCTCATATGTCCATATTCATAGTACAGACAGGGGGAAACTTGATCCTAGAGCCTTAAAGTGTGTCTTTGTTGGTTATTCATTGACTCAGAAAGGGTATAAATGCTACCACCCCCATCCAAATTTTTTTTTGTGTTTAGGGATGTTACCTTCAATGAGCAAGAGGACTATTTCTATCAACCTTATCTTTAGGGGGAGAGTTTTAGGGAAGATAGTATGCTACCACCCCCATCCAAAAAATTCTCTGTGTCTAGGGATGTTACCTTCAATGAACAAGAAGGCTATTTCCATCAACCTTATTTTCAGGGGGAGAGTTTCAGGGAAGATAAGGAAAGTAGTAATTCTGGTTTTCCATTCTTCCATACTTGATATTTGAACCTAAACGAGATCAAATTGAAGTTGTAACAAGTGAAACAAGTCAAGAAAGTGAAGCTGGTCAAGAAAGTGAAATTAATTGTGAAGTTGATCAAGGAGATGTTGAAGTTGGAAAATTTGGTAAGAAGCTGGTGTACTCAAGGAAGAGACTAAGGCCATTCCAGGATCAAACCATGTTCAAGAATCCAACTCGACTCCATAAAAAGAGGTAACAATTTTTTCTCCGGTTGTGCAGGTTGAAATTGAAATCCAAAATGATCCTGACCTCCCAATTAACATTAGAAAAGGGACAAGAAAATGTACCAAACAACCACTCTACCCTTTCTCAAATTACCTGTCCTTTAAAAATTTCTCTCTTACTCATAAAACCTTTCTAGTAAACCTAAACACTGCACTTCTACCTAATACCCTATCTGAGGCATTGTCTGATGAAAAATAGAGGCAAGCCATGGATGTAGAGATGGAGGCATTGGAGAAGAACAACACCTATGAGTTAATCACCTTACCAATAAGAAAGAGGCCAGTTGGATGTAAGTGGGTTTATACAGTGAAATACAAGGCTGATGGATCAATTGAGAGATATAAGGCAAGACTAGTTGCCAAAGGGTTCACCCAAACCTATGAAGTTGATTATTTGGAGACCTTTGCTCCGGTTGCCAAAATGAACACAGTTAGAGTGATATTGTCCCTTGCTGTCAATTATGGTGGGAACAATTTGATGTTAAGAATGCTTTCCTACATGGAGACCTTGAAGAAGAAATTTATATTGAGATACCTTCGGTATATGGTAGAGATGTTGCTGTCAACACTGTTTGCAAGTTGAAAAAGGCATTATATGGGCTAAAACAGTCCCCTCATGCATGGCTTGGCAAGTTTATTAAAGTTATGACAGGTCTGGGTTACAAACAAAGCCAAGGGGACCATATACTTTGTTCTTTAAACATTCCAAGTCAGGGGGAGTAACAATATTATTGGTGTATGTGGATGACATAATATTAAATGGAGATAGTAAAGAAGAGCAACAATTGTTGAGTCAATGCTTAGGCAAGGAATTTGAGATTAAGACCTTGGGAAAATTAAAATATTTTTTTGGGAATTGAAGTTGTCCACTCCAAGAAAGGGATATTTATATCCCAGCAGAAATACATCACTGATTTGCTCAAGGAAACTGGCAAGGCAGCTTGCAAACCTGCTAGTACCCCATTAGAACCAAACCTAAAGCTTGGAAATGCAGAAGATGTTACTGTTGAAAAAGATATGTACCAGCGATTAGTATGCAGACTTATATATTTGTCGCATACAAGGCCAGATATTGCCTATGCAGTGAGTTTAATTAACCAATTTATGCATAGCTCAAAGGAGACCCATTTACAAGCTGCCCACAAAATTTTATAGTACCTTAAAGAAACTCTAGGAAGAGGGATTCTATTCAAAAGGAATGGTAATATGAAGCTTGAAGCCTATACTGATATTGATTATACAGGGTCAATTGTGGATAGGAGGTCAACTACAAGATATTGCACCTTTCTTGGAGGAAATCTTGTGACTTAGAGAAGCAAAAAGCAGGGTGTAGTGGATCGGTCCAGTGCTGAAGCGGAATTCTGAGCCATGACATAAGGTATATGTGAGTTGCTATGACTTAAAATCATCTTAGAAGACTTGAGGATAAAATGGGAAGAACCTATGAAGCTCTATTGTGATAATAAGTTAGCAATCAACGTAACCCACAACCCAGTGCAGCATGATAGAACAAAGCATATTGAAGTAGACAGACACTTCATCAAAGAAAAACTTGATAGTGGCTTGATATGCACTCCATATGTGTCCTCTCAAGACCAAATTGTAGACATTCTTACTAAGGGACTGAGCTGCTACAATTTTGAGAAGATTATATCCAAGCTGGGAATGGAAAACACCTATTCACTAGCTTGAAGGGGAGTGTGAGAAATTAAATAGTATTACAGGAAAGAATAATTTAGGAAATTTGTATATTTCTTTGTAATATGTATAAATTTGAATAATTAGGAACAATCCCATAAATCAAGGGATTCTAGAATAAAATAGAGTTATTATATTTTCTAAAATAGCTTAGGTCTTCTATATATATCTTGTATGATCTCTTTGTATTAAAAAATAATGAAATCAGATTTCATTTAATCTAATTTCCCAGAGTTACAATCCTTTTAATTGTAATGTTTTTCAGAATTCTGGCCAAATAGCACCCTTGGACGAGATCATTAAATTGAAGGAAAGATTTCGATTTCGTATTTTGCTGGATGAGAGCAATTCATTGGGTGTGCTTGGAAGTTCTGGAAGAGGTCTCACTGAATACTGTGGAGTTCCGGTATGTATTGAATTTCTTTGTGTTGGAGAGGTGGATGCATGTGCTCACACTAGATGCAAGAGTGCATATTTCAAAATTGGATTGCAATTTTGTGATTTATGGTTACATGCTGCAGGTTGAGAAGATAGACATAATAACTGCTGCTATGGGACATGCATTGGCCACAGAAGGAGGATTCTGCACTGGAAGTACAAGAGTTATAGATCACCAAGTATGGAAGTGTCATATGTGATATATATAACCAATAACAATAAACAAGTAATGTTTTAGGTTTCTTAGCATACAGAAAAAAGAAAAAAAAAATTGTAAATGTGGAAATGTGGAAATTTAAGAATTTATTGTCAAGGATCTGCATTTCATGCTCTAATATCTCAGTTTTCAACCCTGGCAGCGATTGAGTAGCTCTGGTTATGTCTTTTCTGCTTCTTTGCCTCCTTATCTTGCAAGCGCTGCAATTACAGCTATTGATATCCTGGAGGAAAATCCCAATCTGATAACAAAGCTGAAAAGCAATATTTCTTTGCTAAGGAAAGGTGGGGCATTGATGTCACGGCTGGTTTCCTTGGTGTAAAGTAGTGCTATTTGGGTTGTGACGATACCTGACAATTTTAATTGCTGTTTTGTTTTCACCCATGAAAACAAGGATTCTATTTAATTATTTTGGTCAAGCACTATGACGATTTTATATACGTTGGCCACTGCAGGATTGTCAGAAATACCAGGCATCACAATTGCAAGTAATCCAGAGTCACCTATTGTTTATTTGAGATTAGAGAAATCAACAGGTTCCATGAAAGATGACCTGCGTCTGCTTGAAAATATCGCAGAACGGGTGAGCAAATGATGCTTGGTAATGTTAAATATCTTGGTTGCAAATTTAATTGTCCTTAATATTGTGCATTCGCAGGTTTTGAAAGAAGAATCTGTATTTGTGGTTGTTTCCAAAAGATCAACATTGGACAGATGCCGTTTGCCTGTAGGAATTAGATTGTTTGTTTCTGCAGGCCATTCAGAGTCTGATGTGCTCAAGGCATCTGAATCATTGAAAAGGGTTACTGCATCAGTCCTGGGTGGTTAAATTTGAAAACTGTACAACTTTTTTCTGCATCTTATTATGTACCAAAGCATAAGAGTTATATTCCCATGATTAGGTGAGCCATTTTGAAAACCAGGCAATAGAGTAAGTCCTGTAGTTCGTAATTTGTGTAGTATCTTCTGTTTTAATTTAGGGTGACAGACTTTTGCGCTCGTTGCTCATTGGTTGTCTGAACTGGTAGAATAAGGATTTAGTGTTTCAATATTATCGTGAATTGGGAATATGCCGGCGAATTACATTCAGATATCAAAAGTATTAGTATGGCATTTTTCATTACTTGCAACAATAAAGCTGCCGAAGGTCCTTACCATTGAATTGAATAGGAAGTAGAAATTGTTTTCCTTTTATTGTAGTTAAACTTTGTATATTAGAGATTCTTTCCAGAAGAGTATGGTAGTGAATTCTACTATATAACAACCTAACTAACTGAATTTATTGGACCCATTAAGATTGAACATGGAAGTTCTATCGATTTGAGTTGAGGATGCTAATACCGTTATACCATTTTTTATCTATACTTACTGAACAAGAATCAGAAGAAAAATACAATACTTATATTAATTTGTACAAAAGCATAATTTTATCAAAATAATGTTAACTTTATAAAAAAGTATACACTATTGTAACCTTTTTGTTGGGTGTTTGCTATACACCGGGTGCTAATTAGGATTTCTCGTTAGGATTAACTGAGAGAGGTTGATTTAAATTTAAAAGAACCAGTATAATACCAATGCCTGTGGTTTTATAAGATTAAAAAAAATATTTATAAATCTATAATATTAAATAAATGTTATATATAATAGTTTTTGTCAAATGTTATAATATTCATTTATGATATAAAATAAATGTTGCGCAGTAGTTTGATAAAACTTTGATTTTGATTGTGTTTTCAATTTTTTTGTAAAATAATAATATAAATATCTAATGTTTATATTTTATTTATTATAGGTAGAATAGTAAATTAAGTAGCTGATCGATATCAATAATTGGTTTGATAATCATCTAATACTAATGGATGATCTGCTCACATTAATCTATTTATCTTGCATTTATATAAATTTAGAAATTACATTATGCTGAGGGAGAGCAAAGAGATTAATAATATAAAGTAGCACATTCATCCATGTAAAGTGGTTTCTTTATTCTGACCTTAAGACCAGGATTCACACGCAACTATGTTATGCATTAACCTTTCACATGGACCTACAAATAGAATGTTTGCAGAAAGTTGAAATAGAAAGCCAGAAATTATAATATACTAAATCAGTTACATAATTATTTACTGAGGGAGGGAAGTTTTCTATTCCAAACGCTGAGGGAGGGAAGTTTTCTATTCAAACGCCAAAACCTAGTGTTTCGCCATCAAAGAAGGAAAAATACGTTATCGAGTTGAAAACGAGAGAAAAAGAAAACTTTTTGATTAAAAATAAATTAAAATAAATAATAAGTGATTGATTATTTAAAAGTCTTATTATAAAATAATTTTATTACCAACATATATTGAGCAATGAACTGCAGCTGAAATCCGTGATTATGTCATATCATGAGAAAGACGTTCAATTTTCTCAAGAAATGATTGCCAAAGGTGAAATCTATTTAGGTGATATAGCCAGGGCATGTTGAGAATCTTTTAAAAAGAATTACCCAGCTGATTTAAACTAGTTAGTGATCGAACCAGGTCCTAACATAAACAACTTTTGTTCTCTTTTACAGAGACTACTCATTTCCAAATCTGCTAATGATGGGAATACACTTAGACAACAAATCTATCTAGGTCACCTAGAAAGACTTTCCATAATATACTTTGCAAAAATAATTTTTTCTTATAAGATTATCTCATGTACGCATCCATAGCTGGATGTTTCCATGATTTAAACATTGGAGAAACGATATTTCTCAAACTACCAGGAAAACTAGGCCAAAAGATCCGAGAATCCTGGAAAAATGACGAGGTTACTCCCATGTTGAACAACCTCTCAATACGTATACAACACATCATGCAAGTGATGGAAGATACATGTACACATTGCTATACAAAAGCAATTAAAAAATTCCGATGCTGGAATTTGCAAACAAATATATACTCCTCAGTAGTATAATCAAAACAAACCTTATAGAAGGAATGTACCTAGAAGTAAACCTAGGTATAATAAAACTTACAATCAGAATTCTTATTTTGTAAAACAAAAACCCACTACTTCTAGAAAGACCTACACGATTAGGGCTTCAAATTCTAGAAAACCAACTCTAAATCCTGACAAACACGTTAGGAAATTTAGAGAAAACAAAACATATAAGCAAACTTTGAAATATTTTGCTTGTAATCAATCAGGACATTTCTCTAGAGATTGTCCGAACATTGCAAATCTTTATACAAAAGAGGCAGAACTGATAAAATCCTACCACATGAACCTTCTTCCAATTGATGAAGATGTTTCTACAGATTCTGAAATACTATCAGTGATTAGTATAACAGAATACACTGATAAAATCAATTTAGACAAAAACCATAAAGATTATGGACTAATAAATGATTTCACAAATAATGAATTCATACACCTTTATCCACAAGAAAATGATTTTCAAGTGGATAATAAATATAATGAATTAGGAAATATATTAGACAAATATGGGTATTGTCTAATGAATACAACATTTTTCTTCTGTGATAAGGAAACTAACAAAAGGGTATTGCAGAATCCTATCAGCTATATAGGTACAGAAATGGCAAGCCCAATCAACAAAAACAAGATACCAGCCTCAGCAACTGAAGAGTTTGATACTCAAAGTTTGGAACACAACATCTTCTGATTTTACTAGAAGGTCATCCTCAACAATTTAAATGTCTGAGGAACTGTCCCATTTCAAGGGAACAAAATGTTCTACTTGATGCTCTTCATAGAGCTTGTAGTCTAACAAAAATGTTTAATACTATCAATGCATTAAACTACTACTTTGCAAAAACACTGCCAGCTTCTTTTAAAAAACCCAAGAAAGAGGCCTACTGCATTTTTACTGGTGATAAGCATGGCGTCTACCTATCATACCCTTCTCTGTTGAAGGCTATAGGTAATGATAAACACAACAAATTTCAAGGATTTTGTAACCTTGAAGAGATTGTACAGACAATGGTCAGCTATGTTGGTGGTGACAACAGTATGCTTGATCATCCAGAAGTTGGTAATTTCATTTTTGAAAAACCAATAAAATAAGAGAATTTTTTTAATTTATGATTCCATTAAACTCAAACAACATTTGGATTTTGCCAGAAAATGGAACAAAAATTGAAAAACTCTCTTTTTCAATAGAAAAAGGATTTTCAAAAACATATTTCCTGTTTGGAAAAAGAAAATAAAAAATAAAAAATTGAAATCTTAGATCTTCATCAAAAGATGGACTATCATTGATTTTGGAAATTTTACAAAACATATGGCCTATGTTGGGTCATTCAAAAGAAAATTTTTGGGCCAACTACCCAACCTAATTCAAGAAAAAATCTGCCAACATGCTTCAGATGCCTTGTTAGTAGAACTTGGAGCTCTTCAGAACTGGTTATTTCAACTATTAGTAGATTTTGCACTCCGACAACACTTGAGGATAGTTCAATATCAAGATAATTTTGCTCCCTCATCTTCCGATCAATACAACATCAGAATAAATCTTATTTAGTGGAATGTGATCCTACTTGGATTAACAGAAGATTAACTGAAGATTTATTCTTTTCAGGGTTCATGAAAAGAATGATTATTTTCAGGGATGCAATAATAGAACCATTTTTCGATACAAAGATAAATTACTGGATAAATGTGTTCTTTCGAAATATATACAGTGAGAAATATTTCATTAAAATATTCTCTACACACCCCTACAACACAAAAGGGGAATACAATCCAGCTAAACATCATTTGTTTTTGGATTCTGAATTATTCACTGACATCTTTTTCAGTGATGAACTTCAAAAGATTGACCATAATGATCCACCCTTCACTTCAACGAGGTATGATCAATTCCAAGATGAAGATATCAAAAAGGAGCTTTTAGTTGAAACCACTATTATCAGTCTTTGGGTAAGACTTGGAAAAGCTTCGTATCTAAGGCGGAACTTTACAAATCTCGCCTCACCACAACCAATGAGTCTTTCAGATAAAGACGATTTTACCCTTGAAGATTTCGAGGAGCTTCTAATGACGTAAACCCTTACGTCATACAACAATATCAAAAGATGACAAAGGTTAATGACAGATAATGATATCTTGCTACCTTGTCATGGTTCCTCTACCGTTACACATTGTTAGGCCCTTTAAGTCTTGCGTGTTAATGACGGAAAGATTGAACCAATATTTTGATATAATAATAAAAAAAAAAGTAAGTTCACGAGAACTCTCGTGAAAATCTCTCCTTTAAAGACCCATGTGATACGAGTCCCATATGTACTTACTACTTTTTGTTTTTCAAAGACCCATGTGATACGGGTCCTATATGTATAATTACTTTTCTTTTATTTTTCAAAGATCCATGTGAAGTGGATCCCATATGTTTAATTTTATATTCAAATTTTACTTTTTCTTTTTCTATATAAAGGCTTCGTGAGTCCTTGGGTAGAAGTCCAAGAGTCCCTTCCCATAGCCTCCCTTTCCTCTCTCTCCCTTCTCTCTACCACTCTCTCTCTTACTCTCATGTAAATTTAACTTCATCAATAAGAGAAGCAATTTCAGTTTCCCCCTCTCCTTCTCCTTCCCCTTTTTCTAGTAAGTTTTCTTTACTCCCCCTTTATGAAGTAGTTTTCTTATAAGGGTGTCTTTGGATATCTTAAGTAGTATTTATTAAAAGATGCGATAATCATTTAAAGGCTTAAAATTTTTGTATAGCTTTATTGTTCATATAAGCTTATGAGGAGATGTCTAACCGGCCCTGCCAGATTCAGTCTTCCCATAATCTTATCATGGACTTGTGTGTTTATTTTTCTGTCTTTACTTTGCTGC